GACTTGTGTCGTTAAAATTTTGTCGGAACGAAGTTACGGAAAAAATCAATTAACAAACGGAGACGTAACAATAATAATAAAAAATGTTCATTGTGGATAATAATTTGATCTAAGTAAGTTTTTTTTCTTCCAGATTTGTAACAAATCCTTATATGATAGAAAAAAATTAACATTATTTTCTAAATCTGCATAGCTGAATTATGGAAAATCTGTTATTAAAACCAAAAACAGCTTTTATGAAATTTAAATTCACAGGCCTATGTTATCTACATGGCTCCTAGTAGTAAAGTACATTTGGAAAAGTTCCAAAAAGCAAAGGTCAAAATGCTTTCTGATGGCAGAATTTGTTACCAAACTACTATATTAGCTTGATTTTGACATACAAATTGAAATACGAGGTCCATAAGATTAATTCCATTTAATACTTTATATAAAAGGTTCTTTATTTATTACATATAAAAATGCAAAGGTGAATAAGTTAAATTTTCACAATATCCCAGAGTAAAGCACAATATATGAATGTGAAAAGACTGTTTGAAGGAGTTTATGAAACAAATGCCAAAGGATTGTTTGATACTGTACAAAAGAAAATTGCAGCAACAAAGGACAAATAGGACTTTTCTGACAGGAGTAACAGAACTGGAGCAGAGAAAATGAATAAAAGTTTGCAAGGAAATTTCTAAAATCCTAGAATTATAGAATAAATGTTTCGAATTAATTTTATAACATAGAAAGTTTATGTTAAAGTTTAACATCCTTCTCAATTTTTTTTTTTTTCACAAGACTGGAACTTTCTAGCAAATTGCAAATCCAACCATCATGGCCAAACAAGTATAGATTATATATTTCTTTAATATTGTTTTTCATGTCCATTTTAACCTAGTTTTCATCATAATTTTATAATTATGACACGCAATTTTCTGCTTTAAAAGTCAAGTTTACCAGAGATACAAAGTCCAAGATTCTTACACAAAGTAATGTTTAAGTCTTCAAGAGTGTATCTTAAGAATGGTCTGTTTTACAAAGTACACATATCTTACCCTGATATTAAGACCTATAGTGCAAGTCTTTTAATCTTGATTACGTAACTGCTTATTACACTACTGTGCATCTCAGTCTTCTCAAAATGCTATATTTAACTAACCTCAGCCATTGTGGCTAACAATGACAAGGCCAGCAATATCTACCAAAACTGTTTTATAATGGATTTGCAATTTATTGTGACTGCATTACAAAAAAAAAACTTGTTTCAAATTGTCCAAGTGGTAATGTACTGTACCTCATTACAAAATCTGAAATGTTTAAACAAAGGAGTTCATGGGACTGAATGGGTTCAATAACTGATTCTCATTATTACACTTTATGACAGACTGACACTTTCTATTTTTCTAAGAGACATAAAAAAATCTAAATTTTCACAGACACTTGTTACTTTAGTCTGAATAATAAAACTTTTACCCTATAATTCTGTCCAAGAGCATTTTGTTACATTATACTGTATCGATCAGTGTGAGTACCATGACTATGTTAACCAAAAAATGTACCATTGTTTTCTATATTGTTTTTCAAAAAATATCATCCGAACATTCCCCACAGAGATACTACATGAAAAAACTAAAAAAATATTGTACATTTTTTACTTTTTAAAAGCTTGTGCTAATCCAGGAATTACTGACAGGATCCATATAATCTGACTGGCTTTTTAAAACATTTTCAACAATATTTATGCCATCAAATTGCTAATGTGTCTGTGAGGTTTGGAAGGCTTACTAAAACTTCTGATGAATCATCTGTTAATAGTAGATTTTGATGGTTGTAGTTTAAGTGGTTTGGGACATGAAAACCTTTTTCATAAAAAATACCTGTAATTAGCACAAATGCAGCAATTTAAATAAGCACTAAAAACTCTGGGTACACATCAGCATTGTCCACAGCAAGTAGTTAGCCATGATCTCAAATTGCAAACTTCTTCTACCAAAATTTACAGCACAATGCAACTCTTTCTATGAGTGTATTATTGATGTTCTCATAAAATTGGCACACTACATCTAAATATTTTATTCCATACTCATTGAAAGTTCTGATGTAACTGGGGGACTTGTTAGAATTCAAAACTTTATCAAGAGGTGACAAAAAAAACAGTACATGTTACACACAGTGATATTTTTGCACAAACAGAATAATATACACAAATCGTGTTAAAGCAGCCTCTGTTTTATTAGTTACATGGTTCCTAATAACATACAAACATAAATACATACCATAAAAATATCACCAATATTGCAACCAATCCTACTATTGCTATTAGAGTTTCCTAGATATTTTACATAGAAAATGAGTGATTTCACCCAACTGTTTTGTTCAGTTCTTTAATCATAGTGTTGTAACAGGCAGAGCCAGCTCTAAGGTATTGTGCACCCTAGGCAAGTTGTTTATTTTATGCCCTTCACCTCCTCGCCTATTTTGCCCCACAGTTCTATAGCTTTCTCAAAAATACATTATATAGAAATATTTTTTTCAGCAAAATATTTATTTGTAAAAACCAAAAAAGTTGCAAACATAACTGCATACATCCTAATGCGAGATATACAGTACATGAATAAGAAACAAAGTTCAATAATCTGAGGAATTTTTACACCTTCATATCTAATCTTGATATCAAGTTTTCAGTGATTTCTTGCTCTATGGACACAGTTGTTAATCCAACATGCCTTTCTTTATCAATTTAAGCTTTGAAAAACTTTGCTCACCATATGTACCAGTAACAGACAGAGTGAGAAGAATGCAAAGTGCAGTAAATATATTGGAAACACTGACAATGAGGCTATGTTCACAAATGAACTTCAGCACTGCTTGAGGTGGCAGAGATTCTGGTAGATGATGTGCAATTGCTTGAATTTCACTGCACAAGTCAGCAGCATCAATATCTTTAGATTCACCATGCTGCAAAGCTGATTCTAGCTTTACACAGTGTTCTCTCATTTCTATTTGTGTCTTACCATACATATTTTTAATATCGTAGAGAAAACCAAACACTGAACTTAGCTGAAACATTTGCTGAAATCATTCTTCAATTGACTGGATTGCAGCATCAAGTACTACAAAATAAAAATTCACTTTGAATTTTCCTTTTGGGTCCTGAACAGGCTTCTGCTTCATATGCAAAGTGCCTCTTCTTTCTCCTTATGTACACTGGTTCTGGTTCCAAAGATGTGGATATCTATAACTCTTCTGCAAGTTCACAAGCATCAACTAATGTCTCTTTAAATTCTTGATCACTTCTACATTCTGCATGAAATTTCTTGGTTGTTCTAGTTGTTTGAAAGCAGAATGTACATCATGTTCCTTTGCTTAAAGTTGCTTACTTGTCAGATTTACCTCAAAAAGGTAAATTATACCATACTGTAAGAGAAACCAAAAACTTGAAGTCAGAAGACCCATTTGCAAGAGCTTTTACTTTGGTACGTGCTGAATTGCCAGACAATCCTGTAAGGGTAGTGCCATCAGCAATTTCCATAATTGCCTCACAGATATCGCCAATATGGTAGCGAAGGGGTTTTAAGGCCTCAATGCAACTCTCACATCTTGTTTCACATAATGGCTTCTCTTTTAGACTTGCCACATGGTGTAAGAGAACATCCCAGCAACGTGTTGAACCTGAGAAAAATACATAGATGCACTGGAGTAACAAGAAGCTTGTAGCCTCCAAGCAACACCTGGCAGCATCATTTACAACCAAATTCAGAGAATGTGAATAGCAGGGAACAAATATTACCCGAGTTTAAGGTCCATGATTCTCTTTTGCACACCATTATGTTTACCTTTCATGCTGCTGCCATTATCATAGCCCTGGCCATGTAAGTTCTCCAAGGATAATGAAATTTCTTCAAGTTGATGAAGGATGTTTTCAGTCATGAAAGTATCAGTTGTTTCCTTCATTGGAAGAAAACCCAAAAAATGTTCTCTTAAATTCATATCAGCAGCTCCCATTTATGTAGACTTATTAACATTTACGAAGAAAATTATCATTGTCATCTGCTCAACATGGCTTACATCTGGTGTACAGACTAGGATTATTGAAAAATACTTTGCATACTGAGCAGCTTTTATTTTTTCTTTAGTAGCACTAGCTAATAGCTGTATCAGTTCATTCTGTATGTCTTTTCTAAGGTAATGCACGTTTTATGATCAATTATTTTATGCAGATGCTCATCCATGACTGGATCAAACAATGCCAGATACTAAGTGAACTTCAATAAGTTTCCGTTAGCTGCACTGTATAATTTCTCATTTGTTCCATTAAATGGAAGGTTTTACATACCAAGTATTATTCTCAATAAAGCAATAAGTCATTCCAATACCTTCTGCAATATTTCTCTTTGTGTTTAATCCCATGAAGATTTACTTGATCTATAGTTATATTTTTTCTCAACCATTTTGGAAATTCTCTAAGTGCTCGTTGTTTTTTCATGAGAGGAGAGTATTGTAAAGATATTTTTCCAGTCTCTTGACCCATTCCCAGCAAGTGTTGATAAACCAAATGCTTGCCTGCTGAAAAGTTTGCAACAAAAGCAAAACACAGAGTCTGTTGATACTGAATACTGCAGCCATTGATGATGCATTTCATCCCCGTTTGCAAGCCTCCTCTCACAATAATTAATAGAGAATTTTCTTCAATTTCCATCCTTAGAAAAGTGTAAATATGTAACTTGTTCAGGTTCATGTTCAACCAGAATGTGTCATTGCATTCAATCAAGGTAGCAGGATCACCATAGTTCAGTTTACATAATTTGTTAGTAGGTCCACATTCATCACTATGGTCATGTATAACCAGTTTCACATCTGGATTCAGACAGAATTTATTCTGTGTGTCAGAGGTACTCCGATGTTCTTCATCTGGCTCAACTATTACATCTGTGATTATAGGTGTATGTGCTATTTCCACCTCAGAATCTATTTCATGTTGTGAACTATCTTGATCTTGAAGATGTCAGCAAAGATATTTCAGAAAAGAGCCCTCTTGCATTGCTTGTTACTTCTCCCTTTCTGCATTTCATTTATGGTACTGAGCTCCATATGGGTGCTTTTTATCTGCCATTTTTATCTTTGCAACAGAATGGAGTCTGCCGGCAAAATAACTGGTTAGAAATGTGAGAGTAGTGGTTTTAGATTATTATATTAATGATTAAGGCTAATCTATGTTTGTTTTAATATATAAAACAGTTTGTGATATCAGAGTCTTAGTTTATTATACACACACACACCTTTCAATTAGTTCTACACTATATCAACACCAATACATGACTCCCTCTCTCTGCAACTCACACAATGCTACCTATTATGCAACATAATGGCACTGGCTGCATTGACGCAAGCTGGCAATTAGTAAAGCAATAAAATCGTGGCTGCACTGACACAAGTTGCAATTATTAAAACAGTAAAATCACAATACAACAATCTCATATGGATATTAAATTTGTAGATGTGTAAAAGTAGTCATTAAACATGAGCTGACCTCTGCCCAGAGGTGCTGGATACAAAAATAAGCTGCAGGGGCAGCATATTGACAGGGGCACTTTACTTAACCTTACCAATTCTACTTAAACTTTACAGGAATTAGTTTGAATGCATACTTTTATCTCCTCAAACAGGAAATGATTGTTTGATAGGAGAAAATATGGCTCATTACAAACCAATGTCTCAAAAAATATATGTTTCAGTATCCGTGTAATGTAAAGATATCAAATAATTATTATAAGCTGCTTAGTTGTTAAAAGTGCTCAAAAAGTTATTACTCAAATGCATCGTTAGAATAGTTCTTGTATTTCCTATTTGGAGTTCAAAATTCTCTAAAATGTTTCCGATATTGTTTGTTTACTGCAATGAATTCTTTTGCAACTTTTATGGTGCATATTTCTTCAGTGCATACTTTTTGCATTATGAAAAACAATAGAAAAGAAAACAGTGTAAGGGTTTCGTGAAATATTTCATGGTCTGCATTTTATGCTGGAACAAACTACTGAGATCTATAAAAATATATTTAGCAAAAGGTATAAATTTATTATTCAGAATTCAGGAAATCAATAGAGAAACCCTGATATGGTTTTGTAGATTAGGGTGTCAACTTACCCTCGACACTATTAATTGGTTTGTTAATGAAACTGGGAGGTAGAAAATAGTTTTTTCATAAGTAATGGGAATTAGGCCTAAAGAAGACAGACCAATGTTCTGTCGTAACAGGTAGTATGTTCCATCAAGAATAAAACTTTTCCTTACGATTATAAATTATTGTGTTCCTACCTATTCATGATATCGTTGGATTGAAAAGACAGCATAAACTTTCAGTGAACAATCTGTCAATTATTTTTCAATAAATATATCTCAATAGCTGGTTTAGTTATCCCAAGTTTTTGTTTGCTGTGAATGCTGGTTTAGCCAAGAACTAAACAAAGGTAAGCACAAGACATGTCCTTATGATACTTAGATTTAGCATTGGTTATTGTTATAATTCATGTGACCCTATTGTACTTAGTTTAGTGTAACCCTTCCTTGTCAGGAAATCTAGTTTCTTGTCATAGACACCAGGTAAAGTAGTGAACATTCATATAATAAACATCAAGCGATGCAGAATCATCTGGGGAATACGAAATGTTGAGAATAATTGAAATATATTAATCTTTGGGTGGCTTAACTTTGATTATGAGCTATGATTAATACTAAGCTATTCACAGTTTATATAACGTTATGAAGACAAAAGGTTAAGTAAGATGGAAATAATGTCAGCAGGCGACCGGATATAGTTAAAAGTCAAGTCTGGTCAGTTGTGTGGGCAGTAAATAGAGCTTAGCAAATATGGTTTACATTGCTGGGACTACTATCATGGTTTAGTGAGAGATCATTAGCTCACAGTAGCAAAGGAATATGCTAGCAAGAGTCGGTCCTAAAGGTGACTCCCATTGCCATGCTGACCACTGAAGACAAAGTGATTATCCTTGAGGGCAAGATTAAGTAATTCTTTGAACTGTTGGTGGTTAAATCTTGCTTGTATTTCAATTTTGTTAGGGAAAGTTTATTTAACATTATTTGTATGGTTTCCTCAAGTAGAATGTTTGTGAATAAAGATTCAATGTCAAAACTAGAGTATATACTGATCAGTATTAGTACTTTTAGCAATTTCTTACACAAAGGAAAAGGAATCTAAGTGTAAACTCGTTAAAAGCGAATTTAGCATAAGAACAATAAATTTAGCTAATTTATAAGTATGGGAACCAATGCTGGGTAAAATAGGGCTTAAGATGTTATTTTTGTGAAAGTTATGCAACCCATACAACTGTTCCACTTCCCTATTCTTTCCAATTTGTTGCTTGCTGTTGTTTCTTTTGTACTTCACCCTTTTTATTCTGTATTTAAATTAATCTTTACATAATGTTTGAACTCTATAAATATTTTTTTTTCTTATCTTCTCGATTGCTTTAGTTAAAGATGAAAATCATTGTACTTTGGCAATGCTGATAAGCAACATGAAATGAACTTGGGTGCTCTATGGAAACATTTTCAAAATGGTTGTGACAATTGGCAATTGTGTGTTTGTAGCCAGTAGATTTTTGCACCCCCAAGCTCCATGCGCCCCAGGCAAATGCTTAGTTTGCCTAACAGTAGCATCAGCCCTAGTAACAGGCAAAACCATGTAATTATTAGGTCGTCAAGAAATTAATGTCACTTTTTTTAGATGAAAAACCCAAACAACTTGTATATCAAACCAAAACATTTATTAAATGAAATAGTCTCCATTCTTATCAATGATGCTTTTCCATCTTACAATTCAGGTTGTTAATGCTCTGATTAAAGAAATCAATTGGCTTTGAAGTAAAAAAACATGTCAATGTCCTATTTAACACCTTCAATATTTGCATACGTTTTCCCATTAAGATGGTGTTTCAGCAAATGAAAGAGATGGTATTCTGATGGTGCCATATCTGTAAAATATGGTGGGTGGAGGAGAAATTCCGAACCCAACTTCATAATTTGTGTTGCATCAAACGTGCCACATGTGGACGTGCATTCTCATGGAATGCCTTTCCAATTGACAAGTGAAGGGTTTGATTTAAACATTCCGGAATCCATTTTTCATCACCTGTGACATTTCTGTCCAAAAATGGTTCACACGAATTACATTGAAAACGGCGATAATAGGAGAGTTCGTGAGGCACCCAAACACCTTCTTTATGAAGTTTTTCCATATTCCTTAGATGTTTATGTATTATTTCATGATAGACATGTAATTTCAGGCCCATTTCAGGAGTGTGCCGCCTTGGGTTAGACTCAGCAAACATCTTCAAGAGCATCAATATCAATTCCAACATG